AAAAGTAAAAAAATTATGAAAAAATAATTTTAAAAATTAATAAATACATAAAAATATAAAAATATACTGAATTCTCGTACTTTTTATATTTTTGGTATTTAGTGAATTTTTAAAAGATTTTTTTCACAAAAATTATACTGTTTATGTGTATTTATGTTAGGAGTGGTGCTATTAGCACCCAATCTATTATTTTTGACTCTCCATTTCTTTGGATCCCCACTTATAAATTTTGAAACCTTTAAAATTTCTTTTCTTCCCCCCAAATAATACCAAAATTATCCTTGTGAAAACATTCCACTCATTCAATCGAATGCACACCCCCCACACCCCAAAAAAATCTCTCTTTCAAAAACCCTAACAAAACCCACGAAGAAGAAAAAGAAGAAGAGTCAAGTGTGATTACTGTCTCTGCTCTCTCTTTCTCTCTATCGCCTTATCCTTTTCTTCGGTGATTAATGTTCGGTTACTAGTTCCTGAACAAATAATAAATGGTCGGTTATTAGTTCCGAAACAAATAAACAATGTTTGGGCCTATATTCTCGAATTTCGGTCATATATTCGGGAGTTTAGTCCCGAAAAAATGACGAACATATTTTATTATTTTTGCCATTTTTTTTAGAAATTTACGCTTACAAGCCAATCTCCTCTAAGCTAAGAACACCATCAAAGCTATGAACTTCCTTTGAATTTTTATTGTTGCACTCCTCTCATCTCATGGAGTTGTGGTTGCTGAAAAAAGTTCCACTTATTATGATTGCCGGAGAAGTGTGGGTAATCAAATGGTTGCGACTATTATCGCCGAAATATTGTCGCCAAAGGGTTTTCAAGGTTTTGAGGGTGGGTAAGTTTTGAAGGTGAGATTTGGGGAAGATGGATAAGTGATGATGGGAGTGAGTGCTCTCATAAACCCTAATTCATGAAGCAGTAGTGTGTTGGTTTAATTATGAGATAGGGTGTCCCAAATTTAATGGTATCCTTTTTAGTAATTTTATTTGAGATTATTATTGTAATAAAAAAAATTAAGGGGTCCAAAATAATTCATGAGGTGCTAATAGCAATACTCTTATGTTGGGTGTGTCTAAAATTTTTTTAAAAAATTACTTAAAATATTAAAAAAAATTAGTAAAAACAAAAAAAAAACACGAAAAACAATAAAAGAGAATTTTCTAAAAAGTATTTTTGAAAAACCAAAAACAAGTAAAGTATTTTTTTTTTTTTACACAATTCATGTGTTTCACGCACTGTATATGCAAATCGATTTCAAATTCTCTTTTGCCTGCCAGCAATGTAGAGCTGTGATTAGAGCTCCTCCTCTAGGGCTTTGTATCACTATTGTTAAACATAATATGTAGCATCACTAAAATAATATTATAATCAAAGAAAAAATTAGTCATAATTAAAGAAAAAAATGACATAATTATGAATGCACATGGTGCACCATCTTTCAAAGTGTGTAGGGTAGAATTTCCCTAAAAATATAGGGGGAGTGACCAATAAATTCCATATTTTGAACTTAGTGATCTATATAGTCCCATATTTTTTTCTTGTGATCTATTTAATCCTTTTGGATGTGTAATGACTCATTTTCCCGTCACATTGGAGTGTCACATTTAGAAAAAAAAAATACACTAAGCAGTTTTTTAGTATCACATCATCCATGCCACGTTGGAGTGTCACATGTTACATTTGGAAAAAAAAGTACACTAAGGAGGTTTTAGTATTTTTAGAGTATCACATTATATCAGCCACGTTGTCACATTTGGTAAAAGTACACTAAAGAGCTTGTTATCCCAGGTAGGCAACCCAAGATGGGAGTGAATGTATTAAAAATAATTTCACCATATTAATGATAGTAATCAAAATATTTGAATTTTAACAAATAAAATAACAAAGCAATAAACATCAATATAAGTAAAAGAGATAGGGACAGAAAATCAAACACAGCGATTTATGGTGGTTCGGCATGCCGGGCCTACGTCTACTTCCCAAGTATCCTCCTCAGAAATTTCTCCACTATTCTTCAAATAGTAATACACCACTAGTTTCAAGCGTGCTAGTGAACCTTTACGACAAGTGACCAATCCCGATTACTCTGATTAGTTTAGAATCTGGTGCCTAGTCACACCTAACCCAAGTGATTTTATCCCAAAAATCACTCAAAAAAATAACCCGACTAGTTTTGAATCTGATGCCTACTAGTCTCAACTAACCCAAGTGATTTTATCCCAAATAATCACTCACAAAAACTCTCTCTTTTACAAGAATAATAAGAAGGGTGTGAAAACCCTTTTACTATTTTTGCTCAAATTCTCAACAATTAAAAATAATTTCACAATAATAATGATAGTAATCAAAATATTTGAATTTTAACAAATAAAATAACAAAGCAATAAACATCAATATAAGTAAAAGAGATAGTGACAGAAAATCAAACACAGCGATTTATGGTGGTTCGACATGCCGGGCTTACGTCTACTTCCCAAGTATCCTCCTCGAAAATTTCTCCACTATTCTTCAAATAGTAATACACCACTAGTTTCAAGCGTGCTAGCGAACCTTTACGACAAGTGACCAATTCCGATCACTCTGATTAGTTTAGAATCTGGTGCCTAGTCACACCTAACCCAAGTGATTTTATCCCAAAAATCACTCAAAAAAATAACCCGACTAGTTTTGAATCTGATGCCTAGTCTCAACTAACCCAAGTGATTTTATCCCAAATAATCACTCACAAAAACTCTCTTTTACAAGAATAATAAGAAGGGTGCGAAAACCCTTTTACAATTTTTGCTCAAATTCTCAACAAATTTTCTCACAAAAAATACAACTCAATGAAGTACAATACAATATTTGAGAATATTTCAACAATATCATAGATTTTTCTCTTCTTCACTTCATATTTTACTTCAACCAAAATACCTCTATTTATACACAAAATTATATCCGTTGGGCAGACGCTCCTCATCTTGACTTTGTAGCACGCGGAGTAACATTCCTTTGAAAATATTGGCCAGGTCATCTTCGACGAATAGTGATATGTTGATTTTCTTTCGAATTTAATGAATTTCAAATGTTGCACAGAAACTTGCACAGTAATTTTTCTATTAAAAAATATGTGATGCACACTAAATTCTATTTAAGTAATATTTATAATAAATACATGATACAACATATATTTTAAACAGATAATATTTTGTGTCAAATAATGTAACATATGTATATTAAAAATCATAAATTACCCCATAATATTTTAAGCATCATCAAAATTAAATTACATGATTAACAATCTCTTCATTTTTTATGATGGCAATACAAGCATGAATTTGACACAAAATTTTACATGAATAAATGCAACAAAAAAATATTCAACAAACATAAAACAGACATTTATTTGTATTATATTTACTCCCTTGTTGTAACAAATTCTTTGTCAAATAATTTATATAAAAATCATATTTCTTATCCTCCTTAGACATCATCAAAATAAAATATTGATATATGAATTTTTATAGAAAATGAAAATTTTCAGTACCCAAAACAAAAATCATGTAAACACATTTGATCAATGATTTAGAGATATAGCAAATAATCTGACTAGACAAAAGAAAAAATATTTTTTTTTTTATTTTATTTCTCCCCCCGTGATCATTATCGAGATTCGCCTAAAAAAAATCGTAAAAAAATCGTGAAGCGGCGCCTAAAATGTTGACAAACAAGAAAAGCGACAAAAATGATGCGTAGAGATACAAATCCTTCAAGTGTTCTAGGGAAAAAAAATTGCTTACCATCTGTGTAATCATATCATTTCTTACCTTGGCTATTAATGGTTCTGACTTGAATGAGGTGCTTGAAATTCAGGCAAACGAAAGGTTATCAATAGTGCATTCGCATGTTATTCCAGTAACTGAGAGTCCTAGTGTATTTGGTAATCATAATAATACCGATGCTATTAATAATACCATGGCTCTTAGTACACAGACTATAACTGCGGTTTCCAATATTACTCAACGACTACAAGCAAGAAACCAAGAGAATTAGTGATTGAAAGAATAAGTGATCTATTTAAGACAACAACTTGCTGAAACTCGTCAGGCAAAGATAAGTCTAGAACAAAAAAATGCACAGTTGGAGAATGCGGTTCAATATTATGCAACCGCTAAAATGCCCAAACTCACAGAAGTCGAAAATAAAGAAATTCAAGTTCGGGAGGCTCATGAAAAGCTATAGAGAGAAATTAAGCGCAAAAAATCTATAAAGCCTACTCAGAACTAACATGTAATCTATAAATATTTTCTCCTTCTGAAATAAAGTTGCAAGTATTTCTCTATGTCAATTTTTTTTTTAATAAAAACAATCTTTGGTGCAGATAAGGAGTAAAAAAAAAAATTAGAGTAAAAAAGCCCCATACACTCCTAATATTTGGACCACACGTGCTTAAATTGTGTACAAATAGGTCATTAATATTGAAATGGGACTTATGAGTTTGAAAGATAAAACATAGGACTAACTAGTTCACAAGTTCTTAACTTGGGATTTATTGGTGTTTTTTTCTTTATTTTATTAACTCATATTTTAGGTAAAAAGTCCAACAAAAAAAAAAAAATCATTGAAATAACTGCTTTTTAAACTGGCCGAAATTGCTTAATTAAAAAAATTATATAAATGTCTAATTTAAAATTGACACCATTAATTTATGGTTTTAAAAAGAGCATGTGTTTGTGTAATTAATCTTTTTCCCCAAGTTTTTTTAAATTTATTTTTCAACTCTCCAGCATTCCATCCATATATTTAAGAGATTTAAGTCTATGTGAGATTGAATTTATATGACATAAACTTACTTGTAAGTAAATCTTAATTAATTAAAGTCTGGATTGGTTATAATATGATATTTAAGATCAAAAGCCCATCAGATATGATATTTTTTTTAACGCTTTTCACCACTCTCACTTTTGTATTCCTCTCTGCAATACATTTGATCTATAATCTTAGGTTATTAATCCATGGCTGCTAAAAGACCCCAAGATGACTCTGCTTCTTCATCTTCTTCAGCACCACCTCGCTGGAGCTATGACGCGTTCTTGAGTTTCAGAGATGAAGATACTCGCAAAACCTTTACCGATCATCTCTACGCTACGCTGCTTTGGTTCAAGCTGGAATTCACACCTTCAGGGATGATGATGAACTCCCAAGAGGACGAGTCATTTCTTCGGAGTTGCTAAAATCAATCGAAGAATCGAGGATCTCCATTGTTGTTTTCTCCATAAACTATGCTTCTTCGAGATGGTGCCTTGATGAGCTCGTGAAGATCATTGACTGCAAGAGAACACTTGGACAATTACTTCTCCCAATATTCTACGATGTTGATCCGTCTGACGTACGACATCAAACAGGGTGTTTTGGAGAAGCATTTGGAAGACACGAAACGCGTAATGTGGATGAGATGGAGAAGGTGGATGGGTGGAGAGCTGCCCTCTCTGAAGCTGCTAAATTATCAGGCTGGGATTTGCAAAATGTTGCTAATGGGTAATGTTCAACATCCTTTTAATTTTGCTGCTTCTGCTGCTATCAATTTCTATCTTTAACTAAAGAATCCTACCCTGTTAATCCTTATTGTTTTTACAATTTGAAAAATAAAAATAAAAAATAAATACATTTGTCAATTTTTTTTTAATTAAAACTTACGATACATTTGTCAATAATAAATTAATTAAAATTTTATTCTCAATTTTAAATGCATACAAACCACTATATTAACTATTAAAGTATAGTTAGTTCACTTTGTAAATTTTACGTTTCTTAACTGCATATTGGGAGTCAGGTTTGTAAGATTTTATATTTTCATAATATAGTGCAATTAATGATGAGATAAAAATATAATTTATCAAATTCATTGTTAAAAATTTAAGGTCAAAATATAAATACAGATTCGATTTTGACTTTCAGATGAATTTTGTAAAATTACCTAGATAAAAATGCACCCAATAAAATTGAAGTAAAAATTGGAAAAAGTAATTTATTATAAGAATATGTCTCATGGGCTTTGTCATCGAGGTGAGTAAAAAGTTCTATCAAAAAAAGAAAAAAACCCTCTTTTTTTAGTCTTTAAACAAATCACGCTGCCCTCATTATCTCTCTTTTCTCTCTTTCTCACTTGTCTTGGGAAAAGATTATATTTTTTAACAAAACTCAATTTAAGTTTTGAGTTCAAATTTGTAAAACCCAAAAAAAAATATTTTCTAAAAACACATCATTTTCCACGTAAGCACTTTTTTTTTTTTTTAAATAAAGGTAAACATTTCTAATGATGCTACGTTTCTTAATAAATGTAAGCTTTTTTTTCTCATATTTTTATTTATTTAAATTTTGAGTTCAACCTTGACAATCAAAAAAAAAAAATTTCCACAAACATTTTTTTAACATAAAATTATGATTTATGGTGAAATAAAATTATGACTTATGTTACACGATTTTAGGATGTTATTATAAATTTTATTGTACCAATTGGTGGATTGAATAATACAAAATAAAATATATTATACATTGAACTCTCTGCTTCCGGCAGAGAATTGAAGCTTCAAATTCCAAAAGTTGGTGGATAATTTGTCCCAAAAAAAAATAAAATGGTGGGATAATGTGATTGAGTTACATTATATATATATATATATATATATTGAGTGGAAATAAGCCCGAGTTATAGAAATAAAATAAAATAAAAATAATGACCCGTGCGAGATATGCCCGGGTGGGTTGAAAAAAAACAGTAATGATACATAACTCTAATACTAGAGCTCTAAATGGAGTTCTAGTGAGGTGGAAGAGAGAGGAGTGTGAGTTCCACCTTCACATGGGTACTCTCCATATCATTAAAGTTGTATTAGAGCTCTCAAAAATTATTCAAGAAAAAAAAAAAAAAGTTGAAATATTAAAATGTATTGTGGGTTTGAAAGTGGTAGGGCATCTCTTGGTGTTTGGGTCTTCAACTTGGATGGATAGGAAAGAAGAAAAAAAAATGACCCGTGAGAGAGAGTATGAGATGGTTGTGATTAAAAAAAAAAAAGGAAGGATGGTGGGTTTAATTAATCAATTGTGGAGGATGGATTGTGATTAAAAAAAAATTGTGGGTTTGGAAGAATGGAAATTTGAGAGAGAGAAAATGAGATGGAGAGCAATCAAGATGGGCTTAATAAAAAATAAATGAGTATGGTGATATATGTGGGGAGAGATTAGATTTTAGAGAGAAAGAGAGAATGGGGGCGGGGCCATTCTCATTTGGCCAGACGAACAGCCATCGATAGATGAGGAAACCGCCACACACGAAGGTTGAGGCAGTAGCTCTATTGCCGAACATTGCTGTTGAAGCCTAAATGATGACTAGCGAGCAGGGTGGCCAGGGTCCGTCAGCGAGAGAGTGTATGTTTGGGTTAGGTTTGAGATGGGAGGAGAGAGAGGAGGAGCAGGTTGGGAGGAGAGAGTGGAGGAGCGGCAAGAGGCGATGACGGGCAGACGACAGCATGGCTCCATTGGAGAAGAGAGATGGTGGTGGTGGGGTGATTGATGGTCATGGTAGTCAATGGAAGCATCACGAGAGAAGAGGAGGACAAAGAGAGGAGAGAGAGGTCTGGGCTTAGATTTTGAGGTGAGAGAGAGAGAGAGTGGAGAGGTTTGGCAGAGTGATGATTTAAGAGGAGAGAGAGAGAGAGAGAGAAAGCATTGGGCGAGAAATGAAGGCATCTCAATTGTTGAATTTTGGATGGAACAATCTGAACAATTGAAACAAAATGTATCTCTTATATATTTTGGATATGGAATGGGAATGCGAACGTGGTACGCTACATATTTTAAAATATGATATGATAGAGGTACTTGTGTACATTACACTTAAGAATTTAAGATACTTCTAGAATAATTTTTTTTTTAATTATTAAGCATCCAATAAAATGTAAATTTTTTTTTTTTTTTTTTTTTTTTGCCATTTGAAATGGCGTTTCTACTACCAACCAAAGCCAACCCACACAATGACACACACACCAATGGCCACACCCACAACACTCAAGCATTGAAATAATATAATTTTTATATATAATAATAATTTATAATAATTAATTATATAATTTTTATAATTTTCGTAAATATAAATCATTTTTCACTTGAAACAATTGCTTTCATCATGCCACAGTGAGTTATCCGAACGTCCTGCAGTTTCCTTAGATCTCTAGCTATGGAAAGTGAGAACGTAGTTTGTAGTTTATGACACCAGAACACATCTACAGACGTCAGGTTGCCGAGCCATACAAGTTGGGTGGGACCCTTCCACATATTTGTCAATTCAGGCAAGAAATATAGTACCAACTCTTTCAATGCACGGAAAGCCGTGTTCGGTAGTCGGTATTCATGACATTCATGGCTAGTAATCCCTTTGAAATTATATAGATTACGAAGATACAGACACTCACAGGAAAAGCACTCTGGGGAACCCCATCTGTTGTATTGATGAGGTATTCCAATTCAGTCAAGTAGTCTAGTGTCAATTTCATTAAGCATTCAAAACCATCTTCGTCGACCAAATCACAGAGAATTTTCAAACTTACTGCAGTTGCGGTTAAAATAAGAATTTCAGTTCTCTTCAACAGCAAATCAAACCTCGTTTCAATGTCACTCAAGTTTTGACCTTGGAGATCCAACTTATTTGATAACGAATAACGAGGGTCAGGGATGCCACCAAAGTAATCGCCAACAACTATATTGAACTTTTTCACCTTCTCAATACCTCTCGGCCAGAAGTCCATATTTAATAGAACAATATCCAAAGCCGCCAAATTGGACAAGGACGCTAGTTCATTGCTCACTGAAAACTATCCCCGAAAG